GGAACTTAAACTACTCGTGTTTTAAAAGTAAAGGAGAAGGTCCCCCCCCCCCCCCCCCCAAAAGGAACTTAAACTCTCGTGTTTTAAAAGTAAAGGAGAAGGTTTGTAGAAAGATGAAATTCTATTTTACTATAGTAGTTCCTGTGCAGCCAAACTATTACAGTGATAAGAGTGTTTTCTTTCTGAAAGTTTTATTTTAGGCAAACAAATACACCCTTAGAGACTGTCTCTCGCAAATTTCTAACACCATTGCTCGACTCGTTTTTTCCCTTGCCTTCTCTAAACCATTGTGCGATTTGAGGTTTTTCCCTTGCCTTCTCTAAACCATTGTGCGATTTGAGGGTGGCAGTGGACCAAACCCAACCTGGGACCCGTCGGGAACTCCCAACACGAGTCTGGGTATGGGTGCAATATTTAGACCCGACCGGTCGGGCTTGGGTCCAAAACTTGGACTCTAACACTATTCAATTATGGGTCCGGGTTTGATTGAACCCAATCCATACCTGTAAACTATTGGAGATAAAACACTTAAAGGCTTATTCGTATGTGTGTTAAGGATAATATTATAGTGAGAACTCATAGTCATCTTTATCTATTAAACGATAAATTAGACGACTTGAAATCTAATGGTAGATGATTGTGACCTTGTTGCCAATAATACGAGTATATGATGATAAACAAAAGGGCAAAAACAAAAAAGAACCTACTAGTGAGGGTGGCAATGGAACGACCAGACTTGGGACCCGACGGGATAAACTCGAGACCTGACGACTATGAGTATGGGTCCAATTTTTGGACCCAACAGGTTAGGACCGAGACCAAAACTTGAACCCAAATACTATTTGGGTCTACGTCCGAGTCCAGCCGAACCAGACCCGTCGCCACCTCTATATGTGATGTCCTAGTGGGAGCAAAATTTGCCCTCACTCCATTGCATAGAAATGAACTTAGGATTCATGATGATTTTCTTATTCTACATTTCATGGTGAATTTTCATATTAAGATTAGGCATTTAGAAAAAAGCACAAATAAGAAATTTGTACAAGGCCTAACGCCGCCTGGTTGTAAAATATAGCCACGGCGGGTAAAAAAACATCAAATTGACCATCTCAACCGCAATATTAGATTTGAAAAAATGGATTTCAAGTTATTTTCTATCACATAATTTAGATTGTCTATTTTCTTTAAATTTAAAAATTGGGGTACAAATAGATTTCTTGGCCCAGTTTCACACATCAAATCTACATTTGTCGTGGATTTTGACGTACAACTTTGAGCTAAGTTTTACTTCAAAATAGTATAGAATTTTAGTACCTTCCAAAATTTGGGGTCAGCGTACTAAAGATGGCAAGGGCTGGGTGGTCATGAAAAACTAGTGCCTAGGCTATAAAGATGGCAAGGGCTGGGTGGTCATGAAAAACTAGTGCCTAGGCTACAAAATGGGACTTTAGGGGCCATTTCTGGGCCAAGGTTACGACAAGGCCGGTCCAGCCTTCCTTGTTTTCCCCTTATTTTATTGATTTTTCTGTAGGTAATTGGCTCGACCCGGACAGGGCCGGCTGTATAGGCACTGTGACCGGGCCAGGCCCAGGTCCGGCCAGGCAAATGCGCAGCCCTTTGCCAACACCCTAGGCTGCGCATGTTTGTTGGAATGAGCAAATGTACATTTGCTCCCGCGCGAGCATATAAACTTTTCAGGAATAATAAAACCCAGATTCTCGTTGTCCGATATATCGGCGCTACCGTCTTCCATTCTTAAAACCTTAACCCTTGCAGAGGGAGAGGTTTATATGGGGGCGGGAACCGATGTCAAGCTCCATTGCTGTCAGGGCGCCATAACAGACAAGTTGCTATACAAGACCCACACCTGCAAAACCCTAACACCCTAGAAACCCTAAAATCAGCGTATTATTTTCGGTTGCTTCTGTTTAGGGTTATGCAACGATGGCTTCTCGTGACAACTCTGAGGTCTCTCTCTTTAAACCTCAAAAGTTTCTCAAATCAAAGAAACCAATTATTTTCAACACAAAATATTAACCTATGGTTTAGTTATTTTCTGGTGGCTTCGAATTCTTGGGTGTTAGATGGTTTTCCTACCAAATTTATAGTGCAGGTGGTTCCTTTCTGGTTGTAACTTCGGGTTTTTGGCTGTTTTCTGATTAGAAATTCATCTTGCAGGTGGTTACATCGAGTGTGGATGCAGTTGTGTTCAATTTATTCACAGAGGAGGAAATTAAGAAGATTAGTGTAGTAAGAGTTACGAGCCCTGTGTCTGTACATATGGGGTACCCGGTTCCTGGGGGCTTGTATGACCTTGCAATGGGACCAAGCAGAGCACCCCGTGCAAACGAACCACTATTAAGGTAAGCATGGCAATTTGCATTTTATATGGAGTTATAGATGAGGTGCTTTCTATTTTTAATTATTCTAATGTGTCAATTGAGGGGTTTGGCTAGTTACCAGGGACGTTTCAAAAGAAAAAGGGAGTCTTGAAATCAGTGAACCTCGTGCATTCTCAGTGATTCACTCGTTGTAAACTAATTTGATTTATCCATTGTAATTTGGATGGTGCTGTGAATTTTTCGCCAGGGATTTGTAAAGGAGGTCTAACAAATAGTAAACAAAGATTGATTGCTTAACATATTTTCGATGGTACATGAGGGTTTGAGTAAATTTTGTGATATTTTGATTTAAATGATATCAAAATTAACTTGAGAAATCTCAATTGCAGGGTATTGAGTGTATTTGGGGGCTCTCTTAGCTCAGTGCTCATGTCAGATATTTTATGGCTTCTTTGGTGCCTATTGACTACTGATGGATGATTAAGACATTCTCCTTGATGTTAGGGAAAGCTTCAAGCTTCCAACATAGAACATATTCCCCATAAAAACAAAACTAAGTAATTATTACTTGAACAAAACAATGAAAGAGATACTTTGATGTACAATGGGGGAATGCCCTGCAGATTGAAGCTAGACCATGATCCTTGTGGTCTTTCTTGAATAGTGAATCTCATTTGAAGGGTAGTGTTGTGGAGAAGTCAACTTAAAAATTCATCCATGAAACTGTTCAGAGTTTTTGAACGAAGTTTCCAGTTCTTATGCATTTATGCTGCTCATTTCCAGTTTTCATATTTAATCTTGAGTATGACTTTTTATTGAGAGAAGTGAATGTTAATTTATCCGTTTGTTTGAGGAAGCTGCTAGATTGAGAAGTTACAAAACGAAGTCTTTGAGATTTGCTTATTGAAAACAAACATCTCTGTGAACCTTAAGGGGACAATGAGAATTGTCCCAATCCCATCAATTGATCTCAATTACTAGAGGCTATTGGCCGATTAACATTTTGGAGCACTACCTTTCACAACTATATGGAAGAGCTTCTCCTGATCTCTAGATACAAGAAACTTGTCTGTTTTCATCATGACTGGATATGTGGTTCCATGCTAAGATAGAACCCTCAGAAAGTGTTTAACATGATTTATTGCTCATTAACCTCAAAGCTGTTCTCCATTCTGAACCCAAACTGTAATGCCAACCCACTGGTTCCATATTATCTGATTCCTGCCCAGTTCAAAGTGCAAACCTCAGCCATCTTGATGCTACCAGTCAAGCAGTTCATCTCCTGCATCTCCTAAGGGCCTTGGAGATCAAGCATAATTTAACTATGGGTATGTTGATGACCTTTATTTATTGGGAGTCCATCACTCTCCCACCCTTAAACCAATATCCTTGTTCCTCCTTTATGGGCAAGCGTTCCTCACTCGATATAGTAATATGCTCTTCACCTCATCCTTCATTTTGATTTATCTAACTTTTTGAAGATGGGTAATTGGTTTGAATGGAATTTCCATTTAGAACAAGATTAGGATTCTTAATGGCTGCAATATTTCCCCAAAAGAGTTGAGCTGCAATATTCTCCATCATGTACCTGTTAGGCATCTTGATCTATTGCTACAAGTTTAACATTTGCTATTTGTGCCCTCTTTCAGCAACCCATCTTGGATTTGTATTACTAGAATCTTAATGGTTCTTTTATTTTATAGTCAGTACCAATGGTCCTTATTATTTTCTTTCACAAGAAAATACCTCCTCGAAGTGCTTCATTCCCCACAAGATTGATACTATTTGCTACGTAGGATTCCCAGAGTGTGAATCCAATTTTTTTTCTCTTTTTTTTTTATTAAGAACCGGGCAATTCTACTTGCAATGCCAAATTACATTGCGGAAGCAAAGAACAGAAATTATTGCAATCTCACGGATCTTAACTCTTACTGCCTTAGAGGAATTTTTTTTTTTATTCATATACTGAATGCAACTACAAATAGAATTCTAAGTTAAGAACAATAAATTGAGAATTAAAACTGAATTAAAGAAGAAAAGTTGGGAAGACTTATCTGAACTTTGCCTAGAGTCACACCCATATGACTTCGCACAATCCACACCTGATTATCAGACCGATGTTGCATATGACTTCACCTTGCTTGAGTCCTCCAAATCTTGGAAGCACCTATGGCAATTCCCTCTCACAAAACTAGGGTTGAGAGCTGAAGAAACGGGTTTCTTTTCAAATCTTAAAAAATGAAACCACTGCAGAAAATTGTGTTTGGCGGGCCTCCTCTCAGGCTAAGCCTGGGTGGTGTGCGATCTTCTTGTGGCCCTACCTTATTAGGTGGGGCGTCACCTATCTCAAGAAGAGGCTAGATAGAGAGAGAGAGGTCTCTGTAATAACAAATTGTGGGAATTAAGGGGTTTCCCCCCTTTATATAGGGCCTCATGGCCTACGGTATGCCAACTTCTAATGGAACTCAAATTTGACCAAGGAGTTCTAGGTTCTTCTGTGAGTTGAAGAGAGAATTCAATTTGAGCCATCCATTTCTCGGATCAGCCATCGTGATCAAGCAGGAATCCTAAAACCATTATCCCGTAGATCCTTAACACATGCACTTCTACTTAGACTATAATTATATAGTCCCACAAAATTAGGACTCTTTCTCACATAGAAATATTTTTAATTTTGAAATTCAAATTCAGAGTAGAAGGTCTAATTCCAACGGATTTTCAAGATCAAATATTCTCATAATCAACTAAATCTAATATTAAAGACTTTCTTTGAGTTTTTAGACCTTAGAATGGAACAAAATACAATGGGGTGTCCCTATCACTAGGGTACATGTGGACCTAGTGGGGCTCACATCCCCCCCCCCTCCAACCCCTTGCGGGGTACCAATGTGTTGAGCTCCCTTGGCCCTCTTGTGGGTCCCACAATGCCCCTCACAATTTTGGAAATCTTAGAAATACCCTTTTAGGGGTTTTTTTTGTATGAAATAAATTTATTAAAATTCTGAAAATTATTTAAAAATCACATAATTATAAATAATGTTGAAGAATAGTAATTTTGATATGCCAAAATTCTAAAACACAAATAATACGAAACCAAAAGTGGATTGGTACCCATGGGCCAAGAATAAGTGACATCCTGGGGCACTCTACCTGTGCTAGAATTCTTGATCCACGACCATCTTCTCAAACCAGGCTAATAGAACCCATGACCTATAGTTAGTCGCATGGACTCATTATTGTTTCATCATAGGTGACCAATAAATGATGGAACCACAAACCTAGTGTGTGGATAACATGCCCCCCCCCCCCACCCCCCCCACCGTCCCCGACACACACACACACGCACACAGCCAAGAGCAAGTCATATTCATAAGGATGCACACACGTTCATAGCACTATTGACGGCTAGGACGTACAAAAAAGACCGTACTTTCGATATCTTGGGTCAATAATCCAGGAAAATGGAGAGATCGATGAAGATGTCGGACACAAAATTAGAGATGGGTGGGCGAAGTGGAGATGTGGAACTGGAATTTTATGTGATCACGTCATACCAATGAGACTGAAGGCCATGTCCTATAGGACAGCGGTGAGACCAGTTTTGCTTTATGGGGTGGAATGTTGAGCGGACAAAAAACAATATACCCATAGAATGAGTGTAGCAGAGATGAGGATGTTGAGATGGATGAGTGGCAAGAGATGAAGGGATAGAATTCGCATTGAATCTATTCGAGAGAATTTAGGCGTGGCACCAATAGACGATAAAATGATGGAAAGTAGACTTTGATGGGCTGGCCATGTGTGGCATTGGCCAAGTACAACACCTGTTAGGAGGTGCGAATTAGTTCAAGTGGAAGGACTGAAAAGGGCAAGGGGTAGGCCCAAAAGGACGTGGTTGGAAGTAGTTCGAAAAGATATGGGGACTTATGGTCTCACTGAGGATATGGCCTTTAGTAGAGCAGAATGGAGAATCAGGATTCATGTAGCCGACCTCAGTTAATTGGGAAAAGGCTAAAATGATGATGATGATGACACGTTCATATCACTATAGTTCAAGGAGAACACTCTCTTATACACATGCAAATTGTTCTCTTTCTTTGGGGCTGCTTCCCATAATGCAATTATCATGTGTATATGTCTTGCAGTGGCTGTCGAGGATTTGGCCCTTGCCCTCACAGGCCCACAACCACACGCATGATTCCTGGTGGCCTCCTGGCTCTCATTATTATCCCTGGACATCTGTCCCTCCTAAACAATGGATGAGCCATTAAAACCCTCAATGGTAGTGCCTAAGCCTAGGGGTAAGGGTTTTGGACAATGACCTTGGGCCATAGACCACTAACCTCAATGTAGTCAACGAACACTCCCATTAGAGTGTGAATATCCACTCTAAGACATCTAGTATTATATGCTCTCAAGGCCTTAAAAGGCCACAGACCCCAAAAGCCTCCACTACAAACCACTTCCACTTTTTCCCTCCTCCCACAGAATTTTCACCACATATACTGGTTTGCATGGTTGGGAGATCTCGTTGTTGTATAATATGCAACATCAAGATCTTGCCATCACTTAGCACATCTATTAGTAAACCTGAGGAACCTTGGAACTCTAGCCCTTAATCATCTGGAATTCAGCTTGAACTCCCTGAAAAAATCTGTGCATGTATATTTCAACCTTGAAAATCCTTCTGCGAGGCATTTAACTTCCATAGGCAAGTACTTTGTATATACCTTTAAATCTAGAGAAGCGTTAGTACTTTGTATGCACCTTAAATATAGAGAAGCGTTCATTGGACTAGGAATGGGCTTGAAGCACATGGCACAAATATATGCACCAGCTTAAAGGCTTGTAAAAATATTGAAAATGCTTAATTACTCATTTAAGTACGAGTTGAATTTAGGAAAAGAGCTCGGGCTTAATTGGTTAGCGCTTGACGATTTGCAACACTACGTCCTAGGCTCAATTCCTACCAAGGGTAGGGGCCCTCTCTCCACTGACTCACCCAAACAAAAAAGTACGAGTTGAATTTCTATTTTGATACTCCTCCGATAGATAGGATTCTTAGTTTTGTATATAGAAATCCAAAATCTCACTTTTAGAGAGGATGTTAATGTATGTGCTGTATGAAGGATTACAGAGTAACCCTAGGAAGGATCCAGTTGTATCATTTCCAGATCTAAGATATGCGAGGTTTTGTCACATCTTCTTTTTTTGAGAAATGTTGACTTTTGTATTGCTATTGAGGGATAGATTACAATTTAGGTTTTGATCCAAGAGTACCCTCTAGATGGGACTCATGGTAAAAAAATAGGTCAACAAACCTTGTACAAAAAATTGGGCCTATAAGAATGCCCCCTTACAAAGTTTTTTTTTAAGGAAAGGTTAACTTGTATTAATATTGTAAGAGATTACAAATTTAGAGTTCCGAAGTCACCCACAGTAGGGGACTCGGTAAAAAATCGCAAGAACAGATTTGTACAGTGGCCTATTACAATGCCTAGTTACTTGGTTTTACAGCGTAGTTTAAAGGAACAAGAAAGAGGGCTAATAGAGTCGCCCTTGCACAAGGATTTACAAAAAGCTTTAAAAAAAACTCCTGTGCAAAAAATGGACTACAAAGTTTACAAGGAAGTTGCGAAACAAGGCTTGTAAGAGTGCCTGTACACAGTAAAGCTTACAAAAAGACCACGAATAGCAAAAGCAAGTATTAAGTACAAGAGGTTCAGGTTCAGGTTGAGTTCCACTGGTCCAGCGCAAAAAAGAATGTGGACCCGGCTTGAGTGACCTGTCTCTGCATTCTAGCTCCCTCTTTCGCCAAACGGTCTGTGGTATCGTTGGACATCCTCCAAGTATGCTGCCATAAGACGTCCGTAGCTTTGCAGATGTGATGAATCTCGTCAAAATCTGGAGTCAGGTGCCATGGGGGATCGGTTGTTCTGCTAGCCCAAGAGATGACATTTTTTGAGTCTCCTTCTACTATAAGATGTGAGCCCCAAGAGGGATTAAGTTTTCTCAATGCTAAAACGAGGGCTAAGGCCTCTGCTTGATGAGAGTCCTTGAGACCAAGGTATTCGAAAATTGCTAGGAGAATATTGCCTTCATGGTCTCGAAAGATCCGTCCTGCGCTTGCTGGACCCGGGTTCCCTAGGGAACACCCATCAAAGTTTAACTTGATACTACCTTGTGGTGGTGGTACCCAGTTGTTAGGCCTTGTTACCCCCTGTGGTTGGTGATGGAGAATATTCTTCCATTGAGATAGGAAGAGAGTCCCTGGGATTCCCGTGAAAAACTTGTGGTTGGAGGCCTAGAAGGTCATCAGAGAGATAACTGTATGCAGCAGTGCCGGGGTTTGAAGTTTTGAGCCTTGGAAGATTCTTGAACTTCTTTCCAGCCAAACTATCCAAATAGTTGCAGCTATAGTCGCCTTCCACAAGATTTTTCCGCCCTTAGGCCAACTTGAGTCAAGATTGTAGGATAGGAGGGCCTTTATCGAGGGCGGGGTAACCCACTTTATGCCAAATAGTTGCAGCACACTGCCCCATAGGTCAAAGGAGAAGTCACAAAGTAGGAATAAGTGAGGGTTTGTTTCCTCCGCACATTCACACAGAGCACACCTATTGGGGATGGGGACCCCTCTCTTTTGTAGTTGGTCAACTGTGAGGGCCTTTTGAGCAAAAGCGAGCCACTTGAAGGTCTGTACTTTTGGTGGAGCAATAGTGGACCAAACTCTGGAATAAGAATCATGGGGTAGTGGGTAAGATGGTAAGGCTTTTGTAGAAAGAAGCAACAGAGAACTTACCCGAGGGTGCTAGTGTCCAAACAATATCATCACTTCCTTGGGACAGGATAAATAGGGAATGAAGGGTAGTCAAAAGCGGCTGGAAGTTCGTGGTTTCCTCATCGGTTAGGTTCCTTCGAAAAGAAGGTTTCCAAAGTCTACGACCTCCTGAGAGGCTTAATTCCTGAGCAATAGAGGAATCTTGGTTTCTGGCAAGAGAGAATAGATTTGGAAATGCCTCTCGCAGGGGGGAAGGTCCTAACCAAAGGTCTTGCCAAAATTTCACTTTCAAACCTTCCCTTGGATGGAACCTAATGTACCTCTTGAGAGTAGCCAGGACTGTTGAGAAGGACTTCCAAGCTCTTGAAGCATTATAGACTTGAGTTCTTTCTGGCAGCCAGGTATCCACAGGTACTTTATATTTATGCCTCAGAACCTGTGCCCAAAGAGCATTTGGCTGAGTGGCTAGGTTTTGTCACATCTTCTTTTTGATGCTTTATAATGCTGTGTGGGTCATATATGCATTCTAGAATTCATCTTACAAGCTTTTCCATGTGTTTCATGCCATGATGATTCTCTGAATAGGTGTTGTTGATACATGCAACAATACCTCAGATGATATCTTCTTTGTGATAAATGACTTAATTAGTTATTGGGCATATGATTCTATCAAAGTCTATCTATTTGATTTCTGTATGCTTAGCATAAATATGAATGTTTTCATCTTGTCATATTTATATAATTTCATAAGCTTCAACTGTATGTATTGGCTGGGCACTATAGGTTGGCACTTGCAAGGTTTATGAAATTTTAGTGATTTTTAAGAGTTCATCATCATTCCTTTTTAAAATTTGCCTTTTGAAAATCTTGGCGTAATTTTCTTCGCATTGTCGTTGTGCTACAGGTGTACAACATGTGGTGAGACTTTTTACAATTGCACAGGCCATTGTGGGCATATTGAGCTTGCTAGACCAGTTTACAACCCTGTGCTAATGAATACTCTGCTAAAGCTTGTGAGGCGTGTTTGCTTCTATTGCCATCATTTCTTGCTGGATAGACGAAGAGTATCTTCCTTATCTTCTCCTCTATTAACTCAATGAAAACAGTTTGGAGTTCCTTAAATTTGTTTTTTTCTGTAAGCAGACAAGTGGTTTGGTTCTATGTTTCCTTCACGAAAGGAATCTTTGCTTCTCCATCATGTGATAATGTCCTTCAGTATATGATTATCTGCATTTTTGTGTATTAGGTCCAAATGTTTGCTTCTAAACTGGAGCTTATTGTGAAAGGTGACATTGCTGTTGTTGATGATGGTGAGATTAAGGCCTTGACTGGTGATGCGACCTCTGAGGAAAGCTTTGAGTCAAGTACTGTGACTCGAAAAACAGTGGAAGCATCCAATTTAAACCAATGTGAATGGACGTCACTTCAATATCATAAAGCCATGACTGTTCTAAATAAAATGATCTCAGAGAAGACGAGTAAAATATGTGATATGTGCGGTACTAAAAATGCACAGATTAGCAGCCTTAGTGTGAATCGGTTGTATCAGGTATATCTTATTGGCATATACCCTTCTAGTTGAATCCATGTTTTCTGTATGTATAGCATCTTTTATTCATCTTGCATGCTGAAGACTACAAGTCATCTTTTACGAGTTTTGCTTCTGTGTGAGCTATCTCCCTGGATTTTAAGATGAAAACGTTATATTGCTTATATGATTTGATCCTTTGTTTTTTTTTTAATTTTTTGGGTAACTAATCATTTGTTCTTCATTATGGGATTTGTTTTTTCTAAAAAAGATAAGTAGCTATGCTGTGTTCTTTTTGGTTAAGTAAAGCCTTGTGTAGCTTGTGCTATATATATATATTATGAAATTGTGTCATGAATTTTACCAGCTAATTGAAATTGTTTTTTCTATTGTTTGATGTAGTATGTGCAATGGCATAGTCTGGGATTCTGATTTTACTTCTCCATTGTTTTGGAAGCACATTGCATCCTAAAATAACAGATGCTTAAAGCACTGACATGATTGAGAACACTGAGGTTGGTTATTGTACAAAAAATTGAAAAAGGAATTATTTGTGACATGCATTTAGTTTGTGGTGTGATGTGTGACAGATTTGTGTAAGAAGAAGGGAAAGAAAATAAATAAACTAAAAATAAAAAAAATGAAGTGCTGGGATTTACCATCTCTGAGGGTCTGCAGGGGATTCCAATCTCAAAAAGATCTTTTCACAAGACGGAAAATCAATTATTATTCTCTTCTCTTTGTTTCCTTGTTCAATAGTTATATATTTATAGAAGAGAACCCTAAAACATAACTTGCTCCTTAAGAAATCCTAATCAATATTAACTTCTGACCTATAAAAAATATTTAATTCAAACATCTTTTAAAAAGTAAATGTCCAACTCTACCCCTAATTTCTGTACAACTAAAATACAACTAGAAAAGACATAAGTGTCGTAGCTTAAATAACTAGAAGGCCATAAAATCTAATCCTAATTTTAGTATCTCAAAAAATTGGAAGAGAAAATTATAAACTTATGACATCATTCTCCTAGGGTTGGGAGAGGCTCGACTTTGAGCTTGTTGTGTTCATCGCATTCTTCAAAGTCCACTAGAATAGTTGGTGATGAAATCCCACCACTTTCCTGTATACGATCTTCGTCAATTAACGATTTTATCAAATACTCAATGTACAAATTGAAGTGGGACTTTGAGTTGTCAAACAAAATTTTGATTTCTCTTTCGAGCTCTTCATGAAACTTGGGAAGATTGTTCCTTAGGTCGTGGTTCATGTCTTAAAATTGCTCATTGTGTAGGGGCTTAACCCTTGGAGTTGGTGTGGACCAATCTTCAAGAAGGCAGATTAGCCTACCTAGGCAGGTGCCCTGATACCTGGGTGGCCTGTTAAAAAGGTGGGCTCTAGGCCATTGGGGATTATGGGGGGTTCTATTGGTGATTAGACCCCTTGTATGCATAAAATATCTATTTTTTTGGAAGAATTATTGTATAGATTTATTTTTCAGTTCAAACTTAAACATATATGACTTTTTGAACTGGGAAATTGAATGACAAACATTAAATGAATGGAAATTACCCAAGATTCATCCACTATGCAACAATAGAAAATCTAAATAACTAGTACATGTTAATTTTTCAATATAAATTAGATCTCACAACTCACAATTGACAAAAATGTCACAACGTAAAGGACAAACTAACAAACACATAAATAGACGACAAATATGATGAACTCAAATGCGATGTTTAGTTTCATCATTACTAGCAACAATGCGTCCATGTTTATGACTAGCATCAAATACTCCTGAATCTAATGATGATGCCAAGCCATCATCATTAGAGTCATCCTCATATTCTTATTCTTCCCTAGTCTCCGATTCCGCCTCCTCCTTTTCTTTTGCTTTTATTGTCATCTTCCCCTTTGCTTTCTCTTCCCTTCCCCTTCCCATTTTGAGTTTGAGATAGTAGTCCGCATAGGGCTCAATGCCATACCAACGGAACTTGAGTCCGTGTCAAGCTCTCCCATGAATATGGGTTCATTTCGAGCATCCTCTTCGACTGACCACTCACTTGATTCATCCATATCTTTCACAAGGATGGGGACGATTTCATTCCACTATAAATGACACTCCTTCAGCTTTTGATTATAGTTAACGAAACAAAGTCATTCAATCTCTTTTGCTCAAGCCTACTTCTCTTATTCCCATGTATCTATTTCTTAACACATGATTGCAATATTAGATATTTATTACTTGAAAATTGTAGTAGAAGTTAAGGTGGTCGGAGATGAGGACAAGTGGTTTGCAATTTACAACTCAAGTTTGAAACTGTTGAGCCATCATCTGCAAGTGATTGTCGCATTGCCCATGGTTGGCCCACCATGAAGCTACAATGCATTAAAATTAAATAGAGTCTATATGTACGAGCAAATTTAGAAGTTATGCTGGAACCTAGAAGTTAAAACATAGAAGTAAGAACTTCAATAACAAATGCATCATCGACTTAGATTTCTGTTCTTTGCCTTATTGCAAGGTTCATCCCAAATGTCCCCATGGAGTACCGATACTTGTTAAGCTCCATAGACACTAGGGCATTTGCATCGGGGTTGAGCCTTCCATGGCACCTGTTAATTGCTTGCACAAAACAACTCTTGGACTCCATCTCAGGATCAGTATGGTAATACATAGTGTTGAGATAGTACCCTTCTAGGTAGTGGCCCATTTGTTTTTTACAATTTTCAAAATAGGGGCATATCTACTTTCCTCATTCTTCAAGTTCCTTTTGACTTCTTTTGCAACCTCATTGCCTTATAAATATTACCCGACTGTTGATTCCCTTTCACTATCCATAAGACACAAAACTTTTACAAGTGACTCAAAAAGATTAATGCAGTAGCTAATGCCATTAAAAAATTGGGGTACTTTTGCAATTTCACACACCTTTTCCCCTTCAAATCCATAGATGACTTGCTTTGCTTTGACAAACATGGTTCTAAGGCATGTTTATCTCTTTCATCATTTATAGATTTCAATGACAACTATGAAAGTTGCACACCTCGTGACCCTGGCCGCACCAAGTATTTTTCTCCTGTAGACTTCCTCATCATGGCTAAGACATTGGTGCGGCTGTATATCAAAATTGTAATATTTTTTGCTATCTTTAGTAACCCCTCTGCCACTTTTATCTTGCTGATCGCCTTAAGCACGAGGCCAATGCAATGCCCGCACAAGGTGTCCAAAAAATGTGTGGCCACTTCGACTCCAACATTTTAGAAACCTCCATATTGGTCTTAGCCATGTCCGTAACAACTTGCACCACAAGTGCCTCGCCCACCTCCTCAATACACTTATTTACTAATTAAAAAATGATTTTCGTATCAACAATGTTGTTAGATGCGTCAATGGACCTAAAAAATATTGTTCCCATAAGACAATTCACCATTAAGTTCATAATGCATGTCCTTTAATCGGTCCGGTTGTTTGTCATAATGGTCACCCCACTCTTGCTCCATGCGGGTCTGAGGTACTTATTTGTGAGCTCTGCCTCTTTCTTCAACAAAGGCACCTTGAATTCGTGAAGTGTAGGGGCCATATATCCTGGCCCAAACTATCCCATTGCTTCCAACATTAGCTTGGAAGCTCTTCAAGTAATAGTATTGAATGGAAGACCTGCTTGATAAAACCATTGGGCTGTAAATTGAGACTCCAGATCCCTGTCATCCTTCTTAAAGCGGCTCTAAATACTAGCCTACCCTCTTTCGTGAATTGCCACCTCAGGATCTGGAGGGAGAAGTAAGAATCAATGGGCCCCTTTTTTTTCTAATATTCTCTCTTAATCATAATGGCTGTTTTAGGGATGAATGACTCTGATTTATTCTCTCGCCTCTCAGATTACCTAAATATCTTGAATAGTGCTGAATCCTAATTTGACGGGGACACCTTAGGGCTCTTGAGGCTGATATATAGGAGGAGGACCCCCCCCTCATTCTTTACACATTTTTCTCAGATGTCTCTCTCCTCTCTCTTTTCCACAGCACTCTCTCTCTCTCTCTCTCTCTCTCAGTGCCTCTGTGTTTTATCTAAAAAGGCGGCACGCCACCCCCCATAAGTGTTTGGGGTGGCACACACCTCTAAAAGAGAGCCAACAAGAGGGAGCATTCCCAAGCCTAGTTTTAGATTGGGGAGATGCCATCTTGTGGCACGCCTTGGTGAAAAGGGTTCTTTGTGTAAGCCTAAGTGTGACCCATGCTCCCAGCCCCAGAGCTTTCCTGATAAGGGTGTTCCAGAGGTGTTTCTTGAGTTCAGATTGGTGGATTCAGCAAGATCCAGAATTAGGTGCCCCATCGGGCAGGTGATTTAAGGGGGTAACCCTTGGCAACTGTCCAGTTATTTATTTAATTCTTGTTGTTATTATCTTATTTTTGCTTCCTAAAGTTATTACTTTTGTATTCAGTTTATTTAACAGTAACATTTAAAGATCCTAGATTGTAGCAGATTTATTTTTTATTGTTTTGCAGCATTTGTAAGTAGAATTTGCAGCAATTAATAAAGAAAAGATAGAAGATTTTTGATTTTATAGCTTGGAGTTCTACATAGCCACAACTTTAAATTTTAGCCACCCCAACCTTATGTGCTCAGTTTCTCCATGAAAAACTATCTCAATATTAAAATTTTGAGTTTTTTTTTGAAGTTCGAAAACAATTTCAAACTTTTCAGTTTCTTGCAAAATTGAAAAGTGTTCAATCCGAAACTTTTTGTGAAGCTGCAAACGAAGTCTTTCGGCAACCAATGCTCACCAATTCGAGCCCAGTTCTATTGGGTTTTGAGAGTTGAGTGCATTTCATTTCTTGGTTTAGGGTTTCTTGATATTTATAAATGTAAATGTTGGGTTTGGATTGGCTCTTTTCTTCTTTTTCACTTAATTTATTGTTTATGTTTTTTCTTTTTTTCCCTCTTTGGTTTTGGCATATTGTTCTATCGAAGTGTGGTTTCATTTTGAGCTTTTTGACGTTTTCTTAGGATTGG